ATTTGATACCATTTAACCATTAAGTTTTCGACCCACCCCTCGGCTTTTTCCAGGAGTTGTTCCGCACATTACTAATAACTATGTTTTTTACCATATGCATAACCGAAGAGCGAAAGTTTTGGTCTCTTCACATCATCTTACGGAAAGTGAATACTAGTCCCTGTTCGACCTAATCCGTTTGTGCTTGGTCTAACTTCGTCAAGCAATTGGTAATTCATGATCTTATGAGTTGGTGTCCAGCCGAGTATTCTGCACCAGCCAGAGTGTTAGTCTGTTCTTTATTAAGGGCTTATGTTGCTGCAGCATACTGGTCGAAAGGGTGTGAGATACACGCGGACTTTCACTGGCTTGCAGACAGAAGTTTCCAACAAATTGTTCTGCAGCATACCACATGCGCAATTCGAGCCTTTATGATTCTTTCCTAAACATGTTTCACAGCTTTCATTCTCAGTACCACACGGAACGACTTTATTCGAACACCGGTGTCAAAGAGAATTCATCTTCCCCCCATTAGCGACATCATACGATGCAGCGGACAGTCACGTCTCGATATCAAACTGTGACAAACCTGCAACTTGTCCTTTGTTCATCTCCATGAAATTCGGAGAGGTCGGCTACAGTACTCTGCCGACATCAGCCTACCCTTTACAGACGTCTTTTCTCAACGATGTAGCCCGAGGACATTCTTCTGGTTGATGGAACGGTCCCCGTGGATTACGCACACATGATGATGATATGTAAAGTATAACGTGACCGTGTGAAGAGCTTGATGAGTATGAAGAAAATATTTCGTTTGATGCTAAAACAAATTTGAGCATGATTTTCGATAGTCACGATGAAAGCTGATGTTATAAAACACTGAAGCGAGAAAGCAACAAAATAAACTCATCTGTTGAAAGAGTTCAATCCAGTTTACTTACCGTGTAAAGGTACGCGGCAGTACACCTCAGCCTTTGCGAAGCGACCACGTCATTGACGCTAAATAACACCTCCTTTTCAACGGACGCGTCCGGCTCCAGATCGAAAGGCCGCAACGCTTCACATTTGTCGTCGCTGGAGGACGAGGTAAAAGACTGAAATGCAATGCGATGCACTGATTCGTGTCTAAGAGAGCGAGGCATATCGGAGCTCACTTCTAGCTTCAGATACGGTGAGTCGAGAATGTTCATCTCTATGTGCTTTATGGTGAAATTGGACTTGTTGCATACCCGGACGACGACGCTCAGAACCGGCCCCGCTTTCTTCTTCGACACCTGCGTTTGCCATAACTGCAACGGGAAAAGTCCGTTTACCTATCTTGCGCAAGAACCACAGCGGCATAATATGACAGCAGACCTACAAACCTCTACAGTATTCCATGTCATACGATATTATACGTGGTTCAGTATAATGCAATAGTAGCATATGAAAAAGTTGTGGCAGCAGCACCGGTGAAGACCAACTCTGGTTCATAAATTCAATTCGCTCTGCTTTGTTATAAAATCAAGTATTCTGTGCTACTGCACTGCTGAGCAACAGTGGATTGACGATTTTTGTGAAACTCACCAGAAAATATTCGTGAGAGCCGAGAAATTTTCGCGCAATTTTAGACAACTACTTCCACATGGGGCTTTTCTGTGATTTCTCAACTTGCTAAAATTCATGGTTCACAGTCAAATATTCGTTGGAGAGACAGTGAAAACCACACAGATGATTGATATGTTCAATGAATTCTCAATTCCTGCATTCGCCCTGATGGTTAACATTCATTGGGCGTACAAATTATGGTGTCAGAACACACTGCTCAGACTGGAACATAAAACTTTATCGCAGAAAAGGCAAGAACGACGACTGATGGCATGCGACTGATTTCGTTCGATGCCACCTTACAAATGCATTTCTTAAAGTGAAGGTTCTATCTAAATAATACCAATATATTAATACTGTTTTTGTACTTCAATCATATCAACAAAATGTCACGCTAATTGTCATCCTCGATTGTGTGCTGTCACAACAGAATGATCATACCAGGGTAAAGCTGGAGTTCGGTCGTAACTGTCATTCGTGGGAATAATAATCAATGATGGCGAAGCCAATCGTGTTGCCCTGAACTGTTGGAAAATTTTAACCGGTGACTTTTGGTTTAAAATAGAAGCAGCGTTATCGAAGAAGTCCCAATATCCAAATATCCCTGATTCGCCATATCTACTGATGGCAACTGGGAACAAGACCTAAGGAGTTGGATAGTGCAGGCCAGCTGCATCTGCAAAAGCCTCTCAAAATGTGATACACAATGAGAACACAGTCACCAACAAGATCCACTCTACTTCCATGCTGTAGGCCGGTTTTTCTGGCGCTTATGAAACGACGCCAGTGTGGACTAAACAATCTCCAGCAAAGATGCTCACAATGCAATCTGTAGATCTGCATGCAGCTCATGATGTTCTGGCGTTAGTTCACTTTATATACTATCGTACTTCCTAGATATATAAAGAGGAAAGGAGGTTTTTATTATACGCAACCAAGCTGGATTAGCTGACAATCAGCTGCTAACGTTGGGACATAAGAAATACTATGCTACTGTTCTTTGGTATCATCATCGTTTGCATCCTTGCAAATGTGCCAGGTCTAGCGACGCAATGGGCCAGCTCATCATCTGACAGAGAATGCTAAATCGAGATCTGCTTTCGAGAGAAATCCTTGTTTCTTCGATACAGTAAGTAGACTCTGGCTGCCAAATGTAGACATCAAGAATCTTAGGTAGCATGGCGGCTCAAAATAATGATGACAAAACAAACAGAAAAGAAGAAATACGTCACCGAATTAGTCCAACTGCGCATTGAATATGCATTTAAGAAAACAGCGGACCGTACCTGAATCCAAACTGCTAATACCTATCGACTCAAAAGTGGTGCTGCCATCTTGTAGCAGCCAATTATCGCGATTTAGACACGCGTGCGGTGAAAATTAGAACATTCTTTGTCCTAACCAACAATTCTCTTAAACGAAATTTACCGTACATGGCTTCAGAACGGGGTTGCTTGGCCGTCAAAGACTCGGAACAGAGAATCTTTGTACGAGTCCTCATCAGATGACTTGCCTTTTTTTCCTTCTGATGTTGATATAAATAGAGGGTACAACCCCGTGTGAAGGAAACGGGAGACTACACACCATGCCTGCTACATAGCTGTTGTGAACTCTGCGTTAAAATATAGGCCCTTTGGCCTTTAGCATGCAAATGAAAATAAACGCCCTACCATCAACTTCATGAAAAGAACGGTAAGTGTTGACCCCATCTAGAAAGTGTCAAGAAAACCGACATTTCAATGCTTAAACACTTTCGTTTTCTTTTCTTTTCAAATGAAAATCGCAATAAATACCAGTTTCAAGCGCTCGTTTTCTGCCAACACCGAAAATGCTTCTTCGACGGAGGTGTTGTAAGGGTGCTGGTGGCTGACGAATAACGATTCAACCGCCGGTGCTGCTGGTTCAGGTGTACAGACGGTTTCAGGAAAAAAGGTATGGCCTGAGGCTTCTTCGTAATCAGCGCGATCAGGAGTTGAAAAGTTTTTCGAGAAGGGCAACAGCTCTTTTCCTTGTCTCGCCTTTTTCGTTTTCGAATGCTTCTTATTTTTTGGCCGTGAGACGTCGGTAGTATTTGCCTGCAAAATGAATGGTGAAACCGACTGACGCAAGAAACTGCGCTGAAAGCATCATCGGAGAAACGAACCTGCTCATCATTTTTTGCGGACATTGACCCTTCAGTCAGTAGAGTCGCTGGACGCGCGAGGGTTTTGTTTTCGTCAGTGTCGATAGCCACCTGACTTTGAAAGCTGACTTTCTCTTTCTTCGCCTTGGCCTTGCTCGGTCGCTGCTTCTTAGGCTTCTCCCCGTTTTCGAACTTCGTCCTGGTCTTTTTTGATGTGCCTGTTTTGCCGCAATGATGGTTACTTACGGCTTCGGAAGGTTCGCTGGCGGCTTCGATAGAGACTTTTGAGAAAGACCTGCAAATCAAATCCAATTC